AAAGCCACACTGTACCTGCAACAGAAACAACTCCCCTGGAACTATTCATCTCATATAGTATGCTTATCTAAGCAGCAGAGCATAAATCCTCTGCTATCATCATATATGTCCCATTACAACTTACGATGACTTTCCACCTTACACACACTTATGTACACAAACCACACACCTGAAAAGGCATTGCAAATTTTATCATCCACAGGAAAAAAACCTTTGCTTATGTGTATTAGAAGGTCATACCTGAACCAGGTACCAGTGGATCTTCTTCATCAGAAGCTGCATGTGGCTTTGTTAAAGGAAATAAAAAGTGTGCAAGCTTAGCTCTTTAAGCAGGACTGTAAAAAGAAGTATTTGGTCTCTTAATTTTGCATAGCTGTTGATAAGAAAACAGTCAGCATTCTGGGAGCGAGAAAAGCAAGGAAAACTTGGTTTAAAAAAAATCACCACAAAGATTGCTAAAACAAAAGGCCTTTCTCCTTCTTCACTGTGCATTAACTTTCAGCCTGTGAAGATTATCTCTGAGGTCACCTTTGCAAAAGATCCCAGGGACCAGCCCCAGATACAAGAGCAATTACTAAGATAATGAACTAATAATATTTATTTAAATTTAAACAGTTTATACGGAACATCTTGATATGTAGGGAAAGCAAATTCTGAAACAGTGTTTATCGATATTGCAATGAAATCCATTCTGGGCAATACATTCTAAGAAACATAAATGAGGATAAATGCAAAAGGTTTCAAACTGGTTATTCTCATCTGATCATCACATGATGAGTAATACATAAAAGCTTGAGGACTGATTTTCTTTAAGTTTCAAGAACTTTCAAATATCCCAGAGGTTTAACTATTGAATTACTTGACCACAGAAAACACTTTAAAATCAGAAACAAGAGGGCACCATATTATTTGTGCTATTCGCAGTCACTATGACTGTTAGCACTGAACTTGAATCCCTGCCTCCTAAATGCCACTAAAAATAGGACTCAATATAACTAAGGGAAGGGTGTAAATCATACTGTCTTCCTTAAAGGAGCAGTTTCATTTAGCTGAACTCAAAGATTGTTATTCCCACATAAATAACTAACATACTTGTGACTTAATCCCAGTCAGCAACTCAGTGCCACACAGCCACTCCCTGTCCACCTCCCTGCCCCAAGTGGGAAGGAAAACCAGAGAGAAACATTAAACCTCATGGGTAGAGATAAGAAAAGCTTAATAACTGAAACAACAGGATAATGATTCTAACCACAACATGAAGGGAAGAGGGAGAGAGAATTAAAACCTGAAAGAAACAAGTGATGCACAGTACAGCTGCTCACTGAACAATGCCCAAGCCTTTCCCCAGCAGGAACTGGCAGCTCCCAGCCAGCACTCCCCAGTTTATGTACTGGACATGATGTTCTGTTATGGAATCTCCCTTTGGCCAGTTCGGGTCAGCTCTCCTGGACATGACCCCTCCCAGCTTCTTCTGCATCTGCTCGCTGGCAGAGCATGGGTCACCCAAGTCCATGTTTTTGGGTAAGCACTGCTGAGCAACATCCAAAACATCAGCATGTTATCAGTATTATCCTCATGCTAAATACAAAACACAGCATACCAAGTTCAAGGAAAAGAATTAACCCTATTCCAGCTGAAACCAGGGCAATATTAAAGTGGAAAATAAAAACACAGGGCACAAAATTCTCCTCCACTATGTTTTGTTTATACCCCTTTACTTTCATCAACTTTCTACTCAATTATCTAATTTCTTTACTGTTAACAGAGAAATGCATGTAAGGTTTTGCCACTGCATTCATACAGTAAAGTAAAATTGTGAAAATATTTCAGTGACCCTATACAAACTCTTGCCCTAACTAAAATTTGATTCTGAGAGCACCATCACAAAACCTTAATTTAGTAATTACCACAGAGTGGAGGAGATTAGGAAAAGTCTAGGCGTTTCCCCCTGTGGACAGCAACTTCAATCAACACCCACTGTCCATCACACATCTGGTACTTGTCACACTGGAAGGGCCTGATCACAGGCTCACTTATGATCTTGTTGATGCACTTTATCACCTGTAAACAATTATCACTCATTAGCCTCACACCAGTTTAAAAAACACATTCAGTGAGTACTGGAGTCAAAGCCAGCTCTCTCCACAAACACTGAGAGCATTTCTGTTCTCACGTGTGAGCTGCAGCCTGCCACCTCCAGCTGCCAGAACACACTGCATAGCACGAACGGGGCGAGGAAGCTGAACAAACTCACGAGGAAGGCACTGTGCGTACCCGTTCCAAAAAGCACCAAGATGGATCAAAAGTCCAAGTCTGGATCACAGCCCAGCCCAAACAGCTGTGTCAGCACAGCCACAACAGCAAGCTGCAGGGTACTGAGAAGTCTATGTTCAGCTCACACTGCTTCAGGAAACAACAAACTTCAGCACAGGCAGTTCCTACTCAACTGACATACGGTTAATCTGTGTGTCAACACATGGCTATAGGAAATAAAACCATCTGCCTAAACAACATCCTGCTTTTAGTGTGTGCCTCTGGTACTGCCAGCTGTTGTGGATAAATTCCTAGTAGCAGGATGCAAAGACTAGTCAAAGTTGTCACTATTACTCCCCCCAGCTACCAGGACAACTCTCCTGGTGAAGCTTTGCAGCCCAGTGTATTAGAACAACCCAAAGTTAGAGCAGGCTACCTCAATAAGCCGGACTGAAAATCACAGTGACTCAGAGGCTGATTCATAAGCAATGTCCTTGCCTCAGAGTAACAGACTGGGGACAGCACCAGCACCAATCTTTTAACATTAACCCACTGCCACGTGCCTCCCAAGACTGCCAGTAAGGCAGGTGTAGTATTATAAGCCGTGTACCAGCACGGCTGAAGTTCGGTGCGACAGCAGAGTGAGGCACTGGAGAAACTCAACACCTGGGTACAGCTCAGCTACACAGCCTGCCTTCCTGTGCTGAGTCGATTCAACAAGGATGGAGAGAACTTCAGTTTTCCAAATGTATTAAACCAATCTACCAAATTCCTCCTCTTCTTCTGAAAGCATACGCTACCATTATTTTTAAATTGTGCCATGTGCTTTTCTAAGAATTTAAACTTTTCCAAGGTCAGAGGCAACACTGCCTATTCACCAAAACATGTAGAATGGAAATGGTTGTCAGAAAAAACTTCATTCCTTGGATGCATGAGGCATGAGGCCACTGCTGGGCTCTATAAGCCATATTTACTTATAGGAAACAACCTATTGACTGATAAAAATAGACTGTCAATGTAATTGCATTAACACTTCTACAACTGAGCAGAGTAGTGACTGTGGCAATAAATACATGTGCCACACACCTTCATCCCATTCACAGCACAGAAAAAGTTGTAGACAATCTTTTTTACTTCACACAGATGGAAAATCGTAACGACATGCTCCCTAAACAGGCCATGGGATGGTTGGCCCGTTTCACTTGCACATTGTCCCAGGGAGTGTGCAGTCAAACATAAATAAAAAAGCACAGACACATACTCTTCTTTCCAATCTCTTCCAGCTGATGCTGAAATCCCACTCTCAGTCTGACTAACAGCAATGCTTCAAACCCCTCATAACTGGAACTAAATTGTCAGCTTCCAAATTTCCACCAGACCAGACTGTCAGCTCTACCCCAATGACTTCATGTCGCTGAGCCTCCAACTCAGCCGCACAAGCCCAAACACCAATGGCAGCTCTGGGTTCTCTGAGCCACACAAGCACATCTCTCCATAACCAGGCTTGTACAGGCTGAGCTCCCAACACCACAGCCACCAGCCACACCATCTACGTGTCCAGCCCCACGCAGTCTCCCACAATAGGAGCCTGCAGCGCCTCTGCAGATGCAACCACCCCAACCTCACACTCAGCCCTCACAGACAGAGCCCTCCAGGTCCCACACAGGCTCACCCAAAACGTTCTGCTTCTAGTCAAGTTTAGGTGCCAGCCAGAAAAGACACATCTCTTCCCTGCTCAGCTTCTAGCCTTAGTTTCAAAGAATCACAGAATCAATCAATCTAAGATCACTGAGTCCAGCCTGTGACTGGACACCACTGAGTGCCAGGTCCAGTCTTTCCTTAAACACCTCCAGGGACAATGACTCCACCTCCCTGAGCAGTCCATTCCAAGGCCCAATCACCCTTTGTGTGAACAAATGCTTTCTAATGTCCAACCTAAACCTCTCCTGGAGCAGACTGTGTCCTCTTGTCCTGTCACTTGTCACCTGGGAAAAGAGCCCGACCGCCACCCGGCCACAACCAACCTCCTGTCAGGCACTAGCAGAGTGTGAAAGGGTCGCTCCTGAGCCTCCTTTTCCCCGGGCTGTTCAACTTCATTCTCTCTATTGGTTGCCTGACAAGTCCCCAGAAGCTGAACGCAATTTCCCCATTTCCTATATATTTACTTGCCCCGAGATTTCACAGCTGGGTCACTCTGAAGAAGACTTACGACCCTCCCTTCTCTCCCAGGTCACTTTTGCTCTGAAATCCCGCGTAACCCTTACAAACCGGCACATACTCAATCCCTCTCCCCAAACTAAGCCCCCTCCACACTCGCCAGCGGAGCCCTCACACAGCCTCTGCCACGGCCACAGAACCCCACCCGACCCACAGCGCCGCATTGATTCCACGCCAAACCCTTCGACAAGCCTCCCCGCACGCCCGTGGCGGCCCCTCCCGCCGCTGTCCCCTCACACCGACCCCCAGACAAGGATACAGTCCCGGCCCCGGCGAGCACCTCCACCCACACCGGCGGCCGCCGCCGCCATCTTGAAACAGCCGCCACTCCCCGCATACCCCCGCCGCCCCCCCGACTCTCGCCGTCCATTGGCTGTCTGCGCTGGAGGCACGCGGAAGGTTGTGAGGCATGCCGGGAATCGTGGTCCTCTGAGCGCCGGCGGCTGCCATAGACCGACCAAGGCACAGCCCGGAAGAACTATTATTCCCAGCGTGCCCTGCGGCTACGGGGCAGTAGGAAGGCCAGAAAGGCATTGTTCTCTGTCGGGCTGGGCAGAGGCAGGAGGGTCCCGCGGAGGATGGAGGAAAAACTCCCCACCGGCATCAAGCCCTATCTGGACAAGCTCACCTTGGGCGTCACAAGGATACTGGGTGAGTGGCGTTGAGTTACAGCCCCACAGGGTGGGGGCAGGCCGGGGGCGGGGGGAGCCACCCGTTTGCCACAGCCCCTCCTGTGAATCGCGCTGCTGAGCAGCCTATGCACACACACAGACACATCCTTGTTTCTGGAAGCAACGGCAGAAATCCCGAATCTCTCGACTTTAAATGTTTCATAAACACCAGAGAAGGAGAAAGTGGTGTTTTGTGAAGAATCATGGAATCACTGAGTGTTAAAAGGTGGGAAGAGACTGCACAGATCATGCAGTCCCAGCCCTGATGCCGTGGGCAGGTTGCTCAAGGCCTTATCCAGCCTGGCCTTGAACGCTGCCAGGGATGGACATCCCCAGCTTCTCTGGGCAGACCTGCCAGTGCCTCACCGCCCTCTAAGTAAAAATTTTCCTAATACCCAACCCAAATTCCCCCTCTTTCAATTTGTATCCATTGCTCCTTGTCCTCTCACTTGCAGTTCATAAAGAAGAGTCCCTCTCCAGCTTCCCTGTAGGCCCCTTCCAGATATTGCAATGTTCCTGTGAGGTCTCCACACAACTTTCCTGTGTAAATCGTGCCTAAATTTGAACCTCTGTGATAATGTGGGGTGAGCAGGGAGTGTGCCTCATGAAGGGGAGTTCAGTGTGGTTCATCAGTGTTCTGGTAGAAGGCCGATTTGTCAATCTCCTGGGGATCAGATCCCTATAAATAATTGCCCTGCAGCTCATTCCCACACTGAGACTTGTTCCATAAAATGCCCTGCTTGTAATGTTCAGGTTTTGCTCAGATATTGAGCCTTCTTGCATCACCTCAGCTCCCTCTGAAGTTCAGCAGGACTGCAAGGCATCCAAAGTTTTTGTCTTTTTCTGGACAAAAACTTTACTCACATCAGTGGAATCACAAAGACTTATGGAAGTATTTATGTGTGCAAAGGATGTCAGCATTAGGCCTTTCATACCTCAGCAGCACTGAGTGCAGGACTGTCTTATTTGTAAGGCTGAAAAGCTATAAAGCTTAAAATAAAGCTACATCTATCCCAAACCATGTGTACAACAAGATTACAAGTTGCAGTCTTGGAATTTCTTTCTGGGAATCTTAGAGCCAAAAGTGAGCTCTGTTATTATCTCACCCCAACGAGGCATTGAGTTTCACCTGATAACCTCAGTGTACCTATAGTTGCACTGTATCTATAGTTGCACATGGGTTTGGATAGCTGCTCAGACAGATGAGATTAAAAGATCAGGGTTAAATTCTTTCTCTGAGCTTCAGTGAGGACAGGATTTCACCCTCAATCTCTGATCAGTGCTGTCATACTGACTTAATATTAGACTTCTAGAGGTGGGGGGTGGGTGGGTTTTTTTCTGTTTGTTTGTTTTGTTAGTTGTGAGATCAGGATAACGTTATCTCTGCTCTGTGAGTGAAACTGATGATGATCATCATAGCAAAAGCTTCTTTGAAGTAGCTCTTTTTTAAAAATTACTGGCCCTGCCCACATTTTCACCACCCTCAGGTGTGTGAGAGCTGTGAGATGTGAGCTGTGTGCGGATGTTGTGTTGCCATATAAACTGTTTTGGGTATGTGTGTTGTCTACACCAGCATGACGTGGCAATGCAGGTATGACTCTGAAAGTCCTGCAACGTCCCTTTCACGTGGAAGGTGTTTCCTGCTTTGTGTTTTCTTCTTTTTTTCTCTCTGTGTCGTTGACAACTTGTATTGTGCAATACAGCAGTGTCCATCACAGTGATGTTTTACTCCACTTCTTTTCTCTGTCTCTCCACACCTTCTGGGAATTTGGCACATTTTTTCCAGTGAAGTAGTCTAAGGCATTTCGACTGTGCCACCAAATTAATTAGAATTGCTTAGCTAATTGGGAAACATTACCAGTCTGTTCAGTGCTTGTTTCTTTCAAATAACAAAGGCTATCTCATTCAGAATGACGCCTTGCTCTGTATTTATTACTACTGGATACTATCTTACTTTAAATCTTTTGGAAAGTCTCATTAAGTCACTTGATATTTTCTGCCTAATGTAAAGTACAATCGGGCATTGTTTTGTTGGTTTGGAGTTTTTTTTAACTGTGGTCTCTGTGGAAGTCCCTACAAGAAGGGATATTTCTCACAAGCATTGTGGAGGCTGTACCTTGAGAGGAAAAAATGGAGAGATCTTTCCCATTGCCATTATTCATTTTGCTGAAGTTCTGTGAGTAATAGAAAATTCCAGAAAGATTTATTATTCATAACTAAGTCAGAATGGAACGTGTTGGCTCTTCTGCCCAAGATGGAACTACACTTCACTGTTAGCACTCTATATTAGATAAGAACATACTATTAAAACATTTTAAAATTACACTGAGTGTTTAGCCAACTTACAGGCAGTATTAGCAGTATTGTAAAGACTGAAAATCCAGTGATCTCCTGCTTTAGCTTCGTGTCACACCATTACATTGACTGTTTCTCATTAATAGTGCAAAGCACTTTTGGGAGCTTCCAGATGAAATGTCCTAAAAATAGGGCAGAATTTACTATGATCTTGACTCAGATTAATTTATAGGGTGTAGTCTGAAGAAGTTAAGCTTTATCATGTATCTAGGTGCCACTAAAGTGGCTTCTTGATTTCTTCCATGTAGAAGGAAAAGCAATTAATTGCAAAATTTACCCAAATGCTCAGTGGCACTCCTGTCCATACCTACATGCATCTGTTAAACATGGTCTTCAGTTTACCCACGGGATATTTTTAATATAATATTTGGGCTTTTAAGATGGAATTTCTCTTTCTTTTGATGTTGGATTTGGTTCAGACCTCTTTAGAAGTTGCATTCTCTCATTCCTAGATACCTTCTTTGACTGATAGGATATTTAATCTTCTGTCATCCCAGCCAAGATGTTGTGCATGATGAATTAAACATCCCTGCTGTTTTCTTTGATCACAGAAATAACAATTACTCTGTTATTATAATCTCCTCAACTTGTCATAAGGTTTGCATAGCTTAGATGGAAAAGACCAGTTAGGTAATTGATTCCACTCTCTTGTTCAGACAGTTTATATTTGAGCAAGAGACAGATTGCCCTGCCTTGGACCCACCTACCAGAAGAAACTTGGTGAAACATCAGAGTCTTCTGTATGTTGGGGGTCCCCCTCAGCCAGACAAATTTACCTATGTGACCAACTATGAATTTTTTTTTTGTGTCTTTAACTTGGAGTTTGTTTTTCTGATGCCATGTTTTATCTTTTCAGTTATCTGACAATGTGACAATCAATATTTCCAACTGAAGTGAAGTTTAGGCTTCCTGAAACTGAGTCCCACTCTTCCACCAACAGAACAGACAAGGCCAATGCTATTGATAGAATTAAAAGCCTGGCATTGAAGATAAAAAACAAACCAAAGCTCTCTAGTGCCTGCTTTTCCTGTCTGGTGCACTGTGTATGTTTTACCAGAAAGCAATTGTAATGTGTGTGACTGCTTTAGGGGCCAGTACTTTCACAGCAGAGCCAGTCTTGAAAGCCTTGCATAGTTATCACTTCTATTCCATAGCCCTGTCTGCTGGGCTTGCAGTTCCCACAACAATTTAGTAGTCTTTCTGGACTTGATCCAAAGAGAATTATCTCAGTGGGAATTATTTCAGTTGGCTGTGGATGACATAAAACATTATAAAATAGTAATTGTAAAGGAGTCTATTCTGCCATCACACACCTGAAAGCACCATGTGGCTTGGTATCTTGCATTTATATAGCATTCTTTCCCATAAAATACTCAGAAGATTTCTATAGATTGATACAAATTCGGTGCTTGTAACAAATTTTCATGTGTCCAGCTGAGGTTCCAGAGAATTGATGTTTGCTCATGCAGATCCCTTCAGCATGATCAAGTTCTGTGTCTGTCCAAACCCACTGAATCCAGAGCTGAAATGTGGCTACCCTTGTGGAATAGGGTTGTTAGCAGTTCAGATGTCGTGCAGCAGCACTGCACTACATCTTGTGCCCAGGTGAGGATATCCTACCCAACAGAAACCACAGGGCATGCTTACAAATAAAGATTCATCCCCTGTAAGAATTTGCCTCAAAACCCATCACTGATTTTTTTTTTTCATTTTCCATAAAACCTCTGCAAAAGATCACACCTTGAAGACAAATTGTGTGCCCTTACATCATAGAATGGTTTGAGTTGGAAGAGACCTTAAAGTTATCATCTTGTTCTAACCCCTCCCACCCTGGGCAGAAATGCCACCCACTAAATTAGTGTATATTGAGATATATCAAGATATGTGTATATATATGTATTAAAAAAATCAAAGGATAACATTTTGTGCAGCACTAGACATCCTCATGCCTAGACATGCAAAGTACAGTTACAGACAAAAGAAAGTGACTGCTCAGTCACCAGCACAACACTTGAAATCATTAATGCCTTTTCCCTGGCTGTCACTCAGATTAGTTTGCAAAATTGTCCGTCTCACAGTGTTGGTGTCACCCATGCCAGATGCAAACATGCTCCTCTTTTCGTTTCAGAGACTTCCCCTGGAGTTGCTGAAGTGACTTTTGTGGAAAAGGAGCCAGCTGAACGCCACACAATCGTCTCTTGGGAGCAAGTGAGTATTTTCCAGATAAAACTGCAGTGAGGTCAGTTTGAATGTGCAGCAGCCCATGGAGAATGCCAAATGCAATGGCAACCTTGTGTTTATGAGACAGCTTGTTACCAAGTTTGATGTACAGTGCAGCCTAAACAGGTGTTGTTGGGTTTTTCTTAATCAGGTATCACTCTTTCAGGCTGTCACATGCACCTGATCTGTTAGAGAAACATCGTCAGTGTGGGTACATTCAGCATGACAGCTCTAAAAAGAAACCACATAACTGTAGTAGGCAGCTACAGTGGTGACTCAGTGGGGAGCAAACAGCTTTCTGACTCAGGTCTGAAAACATTTTCCAACTCCCTTTCAAACAAAATGAAGCAGTGCTTTATTATCCATGGCCATTAGAGGTAAAGGCCTCAAACTGGCAAATAACACTGAGCTACCCAGTTTGTTCCAGTTATCTTTTTCTATTTTTAGTCTCAGCCATGCAATTTCTCATATCCCTTTCTTTCTCCTCCTCTTTGGCTACCCAACCCAATCTCTTGGCTAGGGCATGTCCCGTTGCCTGTTCTAGAAGACTATGAAAGGACATGTGCTACCTTTACTCTGCATTATCTGACCTTACTGCATCAGTCTGTGTGATCAGAGGACTCCTGAAAACTGTTGTGTGACTCAGGGCATTTTCATTCCCTTTTTGGAATATACATATTTTCATTAATCCCATGGCCATGGTTGAGTAACTTCTTGGTAGGTGTTGCTTGTGTAGGGATGGGACAGTAGAAGCACTGTGGTCTTCGGAAAGGGACATGGCAGAGAATGGAGTTGAGTGAATCACCCTCCCTCTGCTTTAACCCTGGCTGTGGCCTAAAGCAGCTGCTCCCAGAGACTGCTCTTGTTACCACTGCATAAAATACCTTCCCCTTTGACACTGTGCCGTTTACTGCTTTTCCTAAACAGTGAGGAAAAATCTTACACTAGTTTTGGTAGCGCTCTGTTCCAATTAGTGACGTTTATCAAGAACATATATATATATTCCAGGTCAGAATGTATGTGGTGTAAACCTGTGTGTTACTTACTGAAACTTGTTCAGAAGTCAACAGTTGTGGTCAGCGAGAAATGTCCTGTTTTTCAGGTTTGTGTAAACCGATCCCTGGTTTCCTGTAGCTGTTGTTCAGGTATTGGGTTACCTGAGCTGGAAAGTTTGAGGCACCATGACTGTAAGCCAGCTCAGGTCTGGGAACACAGAGTGATATTTGCTCATTTTTCTGTTGGTTGGAGAGGACTGCTTCTCCTGGACATGGTGCTCATTCCTCTCATTTTCAGGTGCTGCTTCTCTTCTAAACTAAAATGGGTTTATTTCACAACTGAGCTATTCTTGTAAAGCCAAACAAATGCTGTAGCTGAAGCACTTCATTCAAGAGAAGCCAAAACAAATTTCAGTTCCCACCCTCCCCCTCTACCCAGCAACGGACTAAGTCAATTGTGGAAGTAAATATTGAAAATTAAATAAGTACAGTTGTGTTGGACTTCTAATAGTGAAGGACTTGGTTGTCTATTTCTTTGGTTTTGGTTCCCTTTGCGTTGACAAATTAAAGCTCCCTTCTCAAATTAAAAGGTAACTGGATTTTTTCCTTTTTTTTGTTTTTTTTTCCTTGAGCTCTGGGGATGAAGTGTAAATCTAACCCAGTCTACACAGTTGCAGGACAAAATGTCCTGCCATGATGATTAAGTGCAATGCACTCAACAATTCACAGAGCCGTTCCAGGATGAACTTGTACCTTATTTTTCCTGAAACTTACCTTTCTTGAATTTGAATACGTTTGTTTTTATCAGATTTATGACCACTAGGTGGCAATACTTATACACATAATCATTTCTCCAAGGCTGAGATTTTTAAAAAGATTTCGTCAGAGTATATTTTTAACTTCCCTCTACATCTTTCGTTATGAAACTATTTGCAAACTATTTGAAACTATTTTTCTGTGATGTAGGAAAAACTGGTGAAAGAGTTCCCAAAACTACATTATTTTCCCCCCAACAACTTCTCTCTCTCTATTGAGACTCACCAAATAAAAGCTTTATTCTTTAGATTATTGTTTAATGGAATCAGTTTTTCCATTCATATTTCAGTTTTGCAAGGAAAGATTGTTTTACTGAGAAAAAAATCCAGGTGTTCAGAAGCTCTTAAAAGAAAATCAACCTTTTAAAATTATTAATTAACATTTTATTCATGCTGAGTATATGCATTTTTTTGTTTCCATCAGCCATGTCTTCTGAATTGTGCTGTGCCATGTTTGTGCTACTATGTAACTGGATGCTGCTGTGTTTTAAAATCTCACCTTGCTGGGATTAAAATAATCTTTAAAATCTTAAGCTAGTTGAATGTCCCTTAGCTGCCATGAAGCTTTGCAGAGGAAGCTGAGCTTCAGGACAGGAGTTAGTGCAGTAAGGCTGTAGGAGAGAAGAGATTTTTCCCAATGCGGAAAGAGCTGCTGAGTGTTACATGTCAGGAAATCAAGCTGGAAATCACTCCTGGAGAATTTATTAGAAATCAGCGCACACACAAAAATGTTTAAGGTGTATGACTGCCAAGTGTACTTACATGGGTAAAGCATCACTTCCCCTAAAATTGTAAGCAGTTTGTTATATTTTAATAAAACCAGATTTTTCAATATTTCCTCATATTTAAACCTACTAAGATGTTAACTTTTCCCCAAGAAAGAACGACAAGAAGTACAAGAGGGAGAAGAGACAGAGTTACCTGGTCACCAGAAAACAGGTGCTAATAACTATATCATCCTAAGAAACCTTTCCCACTCCTAAAATTAGGCTGGCAATGGCCCTACTCTCCTCTACATGCAATTTTTAGAAATAGGTGTTACACTCAAATACTGCTAGGAGGCACTCTGGTGCAGTGTCTGAATCACATTTTCTTTTTTGTATCAGCTAGAAGAAAAATGAGTCACATCATTGTTTTGATTTTCAAAAAATAGAAAATTGCCTTTTTGTTAGAGGGACACAGAGGTACCTGAGACCATTTCCTCTTGTTCTTCTCACTTTTACTTGGGAGAAAAGCCTGACCCACAACTGGCTTTCAGGGACTTTCAGTACCTTTCAGGTGTTAGAAAGTGAAAAGGTCTCCCTCAACCTCCTCTTGTCCAGTCTGAACACCCCCGGCTGCCTCAGCCACTCCTCGCAGACCTGAGCTCCAGACCCTTCCCCATCTCCGTTTCCTTCTCTGGACACACTCCAGACCCCTCAGTGTCCTTCTTGCTGTGAGCAAACAAAGCTGAACACAAGATTCCAGGGGTGGCCTCCCCAGTGCCCCCAGCACAGGGGGATGGGCACTGCCCTGCTCCTGCTGCCCACGCTGTTGCTGACACAAGCCCGGTGCCATTGGCCTTCTCGGCCACCTGGGCACACTCCAGCTCGTGTCCAGCACTGAAAACCAGCACCTGCAGCTCCTTTCCCACTCAGCAGCCTTCCAGCCACGCTGTCCCAGCCTGGGGCACTGCCTGGGGCTGTTGTGACCCAAGAGCAGGACCCAGCACTTGGCCTGGTTGAACCTCACACAACTGGCCCTGGCCCATGGATCCAGCCTGTGCAGATCCCTCTGCAGAGCCCCCTGCCCTCCAGCAGGTCAGCACTCACACCCAGCCTGGCCTTGTCCTCAGACTGACTAAAGGAGCTCTTGATTCCCTCACTCAGATCATCAATAAAGATAAAAACCAGCACAGTACAGAGCCTCCAGTACAGAGCCCTGGGGGACACCACCAGTGACCAGCAGCCTGCTGCAAGTAATTCCATTCACCAGCACTCTCTGGGCCAGGCCAGCAGACAGTTTTTAACTCAGAGAATGGAGCATCTTAAGCCACAAGCAGCTGGTGTCTCCAGGAGAATTCTATGGGATACAGTGTCAAAGAGTTTTCTAAAGTCCAGGAAGTCAACATCCCTGAACTTTCCCCCTTCCACTAAGAGGGTCACTGTGTTATGGAAGGAGATTGGGTCGGGCAGTTATGCCTTTGACAAACCCATGCTGGCTGGGCCTGATCCCCTGGATCTCCTGTAGGTGCCATGTGATAAGATGCACTCAATAAGATCTCCTGAGGTCAGGCTGACAGGCCAGTAGTTTCCTGATTCCTCATTTGAGCCCTTACACACAATCCAGGAACCTCCTGAGTTGTTCCCTCTCTACTGCATAGTGTCTCTAGCACGTGTCTGGAATGTCATCCTCCTTGCTTCTACAGCATCTCTTTTTGAGTCCAAATATGCACGCAGGGTGCGCACCTTCAACAGTCCTTCTTGGCATCCTTCTTGTCCTCCCTTAACATTTGCCAAGCCTCCCATCCCTGATCCCCATGAGCACAGGACTTTGAGCTTGCCTTGTGGCTGTGACTGTGGGAGAGATGGGGAAGTGGATCCAGCAGGGCCAGTGCATGAGGAAAGCTATGTTTCTTCAAGCTGCATGATGGGGAACAGGCTGGAGGACTTTTGGGAGGTAAGTTGTGTTTCTTACACGGTGTTTCCCCTCTTGTTAAGCGTTATAACATTGAAAAACTGGCTGCACAACAATATCCTCAAGAGAATTTTGAAATCCTGTTCTATGCAGCAGGGGATCAAGGTGATCTCCTGGAAGCTCCCCAGGTCAGATTTATTAAAGGTGCAAGAACATTTCAATATGTTACATAAATTAACATCAATATTCACTGACAGCTAGGACAAACCAGCCATAAAACTGCAAGACATTAAGGAGAGAGAAGGGTGGCTGCTGATGTGGTCTAATTCTTGGAAGCCCTAGAAGTGACATGAATGCCTTCCTTCTCTCCCCAGAAGTTGGATAAAACTCATTCATGTTTTTAGAGTCTCTCTAGAGCTGTATGTTTTTATTGCTTTCTGTTTCTTTAGTATATCTGCTTGAGAGACATTGTTTCAACAGTGTTAACAAGTGAATTGCCATATGGCAGGGTTCTTAGCTTTAGATCCATTTCTAATCAGGTCCCAGCCTCAAAAATCGGATTGTCATATTTTTCTCTGTACTCAAGGGACTGTGCTTTCTTGGGAGACTATTTTGAGATATTACAGAGAACAAAGAAAAGGAACAGACCTCTCACACCATATTAAGCACTTGGGATATTTTGTTTTATGAGCTGATGAGTGTAACCAGATAACTGAAATGAAAACAGCTGCTTGCCAGGACTGTGGTTAAGCCAAGTTTGACATGTTATTTAGAAACAGTGTATTCTATGGGCCTGGAGAACACAACCCTGACAACTACCAGTTGAGCGAGAAGAATACAGAGTTTGGTAAGCCATTTTTAGTGTATAGTGTCATGTTTCTCTGACTGCTGTCAGAAGATTACTGTTCTGATGTTGTATAGTCATGTGACTAAGCACAATATGACAGATCAATCAATCCTTTCCATCAAATGAGAGAAATGGGTGTTAATGAAGTTTTTTATTTACAGGCCTTTTTCTATAGACCTCAGACCTGCTCTGGTACTGCGTTTTCTACCCATATATTTTGCACCAGCGTGGTTTAGAGAATCCTGAAATAAATTCAGAGAGTGGCTATCTGGAGAAACATGCACATGTTGATCTTTTTCAAAAGGAGGATTCAGAGCATAAAACCTATTGACATGTGATTTTTCTCTTGTCTTAGCTATTTGTTAAATTGGGCTGTGCCTGAGTTGTAGCAGGATTTATCTGGATACTACAGTGAAAGTTTTAAAACCTTAGATTTTGCCATCCTAGTGGATCTGGTTCTCCTGCTTGGAGAAGAACAACCACTGAAGCCAGGAGACCCATTCACATATGTGTTTTTACTGCTGCAATGAATTAGTTTGAATTGGGGAATTTGAAATGTAGTCAAAGTTATGTTAACTTTTGTACTCTCCTGAGGCTTTATAGCAGGTCTGTCATACTTTCTTTCTTCATAGTTTTAGCCGTAGTCACTGTACTTACAGGTACAGCTTGAAACTGGAAGTGATGAAAGCACAGCATGATATTATAAATATTTAGGACTGAGGAGAACCACAGAAAAAGGTGTGTTTGTTAAAGGCATTTGAAGAACTTCAGATATGTCCATGTCGTTTACTAACCACCTCAAACTTACCACCAGGTCCTCAGCCATCAGCAGACTCTTGTCGTAGGATGGTAAATTCTTCTCAAAACAGCCTCTGCAGTGTCAGGTTATCTGCTTTAAGACCTGTGGACCCTGAAGATTTTCTCTATCTGGATTAAGAAAGCTCTGAGCTAGTGACCAGGGTGCTTGATGAAGCAAGTAAAGTGACCTACCCTATTGCAAGCTGCAAAGCCATTCGTGTCTGGGACTCATCAGTAGCAGTCAATCAACATTAATGCACGTGCTTTAAAAGTAAATTAACAAGCACAAGGTTGTTGGCAGATTAGGTGCTCCTACACAGTGTGTACACCCCAGTTTAGGAGACAGAGACTGCAGCAACCCAAAGAAAATGTCTGTGAATAAGGCTTTAACAGGCAGAAAGGCTGTTCAGGTCCTAGGGGAGGGAGGACATGTGAACAGGATGAGACCAGCACCTTCCCTTGCTCAGCCAGCAGCTGATGACTCAAGGCCAGCATTGCAGCTGGATTCACAGCTGGCAGGTTGCTCTTGTTGGATAGATATCTCTCTCTTCTCTTGAAATGTTAACTAATGCATGCCCCAAATGAAGCAGAGATATTTGAACTGCATGTGCATCTTCCTTTTCTTTAGCTACTGGTTACTAGAATATTCTGTCTTTATTTAATGAAACTTTTCCACAAGGAGAGTAGTGCAGCCCTTGGGCAAGTCAGCATACACAGATTGTGGAACCTCCATCACAGGACACTCTCCTGAGTTTTGAGGTCTGATTCTTTTGGAGTCCTGAATGAGACTATTTCAAATTTGAACTGACTGGAGTCAATCTGGTTTTTTCTCTAAAACAGTTACAAACAGACCAACAGAACTCCTTCATGGTTGTTGCTTGTGTTATTAAAACTGGCAGCTTCCATTCTGTTTAATTTTATGTACTAGACACTTCAGCAAGAGCAGAGGGTCACTGGTCTGCAGCCAGTCCTGTCCCCAGGACAGGACTGAAGGAGGGTCTAGAAATGCCTATAGTTCTTTGGGCTTCTTTTTGTTCTGAGGATTAAGCCTTTATCCTTCCATCCTTGTGTTTGCAGCTTAACTGAAGAGTCTAAGTTAAGAACGACCCCTTCCACAACCAACTCAGGTATAGGAGAAGTTTTCTGGTTCCTAGAAACTCGAGCTCACTGGGGTTGCTTCTTTCACTGGTGGCTCAAAAGGAAGCAGGCTTAGGAGCCACAGCCATTACTGAAGTTTGAAGGGATGAAGCCAGAACAGCAGATTTTTGAGTCTGGCTTTGCATGTGCTTGCACACATACTTTTTGTTAAGTGAAACATCAGATCTACTTGAGTATGTGCACCTTTTGAGTCTATGCTTCTTACACCTACTTGGAGCTGAAATCCCTCAGAAGAAGAGAGTCATTGTGCTAATATTGTACATGCTTTAGTGGAATAAGCAAGTTTAGTCTGATTTCACTTAAAGCAAAACCCTACTCTTTTAAGCCATATATGTGAAAAAGCTGATTGTTCTGATTTATGTGAGTTTGCAGTGGCTGCTAATCTCAAAAGGTAATACGATGTCTCAGTTTGGGAACAATGCTGTAATAATTTTGTGATGACTAACTGCTCATTGTGAAATTTTCCCAAGCTACCTTTGTTAAGACTAGCAGAGTCCCAAGAAATACACAGTTTTTTTCTCAAGGCTTTAGAATGAGATATTTGAACTGATTTGAGTCACCTTGGAATTAAGCAAGAAACTTGCTTAATATTTCTGTACCAGTTTTCGGTTGTTCTTAGAGTTTGAGGCATGTTCTCCATTTTCCCATTACACTTTCATTGTAATTTGCAGAAAAACTCCTGTGTATTACCTGAGGATTTAAAGAATTTCTATCTGATGACTGATGGCTTCCAGATGACCTGGAGTGTGAAGACCGATGGTGAGTCCCTGTGTTCCCCTCCACTGACCAGCTCAATTCATTGCAACCAGTCCTTCCTTTGCAGAACCTCTTTAATTTCAAACTTACTTTCTGCACAATCAATACACATCTCTCAGGGCAAAATCTATTGCTTGCATGTTCTGGTATCCCACAGAAGAGGTGCATACACTCTTTCTTTCTGGGAAGAAACTAATTATTCATGACATAAATTCTCTTCTGTAATACACTGGCCATCTGTTGACACTCAGATTTAGGTGTGTCATTTAAACCTCATACCTAACTCCCTCTGTAGTTCATGTAGAGAGAAACAGCTGTAGCACATTATCCCATCATAAATCAGTAGGAAGAGTCATCCTCTGATAAAATGTGTATGTACATGTTGGAGCCCGATTCTGCTTTCCACCAGCTAAAGTCCAGGCTTTTGTTCGGCAAAAATCAGGTAGTTTGTTCATTCTGCAGCTGTTATCCTGGCTCTCATTACCTTCAGGCAGGGTTCTCCCGTTGGGCTGTGGACCCTGCTCACTTCTGAAGATGGGTGTCTAATGCAGGGTCTTTCTCAGGAAGTAAATGGCATTTCAGAGACAGTTCACATCAGTGCTTTAGCACCTGCATGACTCCCATCATGTTTCAGGTGGGACTAATGACCTCTGAGGAGTCTTGTTTTCAGGGTTCATAAGTGCACGGAGACCAAGGCTGCTGGTACAACTGTCTTGTTTGAGCAAACATCCAGCAGTGCCTTCTGAGACCCATCACACTGGCACGTGGCTGAACAGGGTGCTTGCTGCCTTGATGTCTGGTAACAGTGTGAGTCCTCAGAAACATGGACAAGTGACAAGTCCTGTAGGATTCTTTCAGGAGCACCCACATGTTGATGCACTGATAAAATCCTCTGTGGAAGTGGGAACCAGGAGGATGTACCCTAAACAGATACATGGAGTGGAAGAGGACAAGCTGCCCAGTAAGCTGTGCATGTGTGGGTTGGTTTCTGATAGGAAGGGCAGTAGCAGGGAAAGAAGCTTTGAGGAAGATACTGTAGCTGAAATCATGCAGCCAGGATTTTTAATTTTTCGCAGGACTGAGCTAACAGCTGCAGGACAGTCCTTGCCAAAAGTGTAATTCCCATGCCTTTACAGCTCTGAGATGGTGTTGCATCACATGTAAGTGGAAGTCTGTGTTTGAAAAAGCCTAATTTTTGCTCTTGTAGGGTCTTACTTAAGTTAAATGTCCAGATCTTCTGGGTGTAACCATTCTTCACCCCACTGAGGTTGATATCTGGAGGAAAATAAATGCCTCCCATGCCTTCCTGACACTGGATGTGATTAATGATTGGTTTTGTTGCAGATACCCCGATGCCCCTGGGCTCCATGGTGATTAACAGTGTCTCGAAGCTGTGTCGGCTTGGGGGTTCCTCTATGTACACTCTGCCTAGTGCTCCAACTCTCGCTGACCTGGAAGATGACACAGATGAGGAAGGTAAGGCACAGTTAACAGGCTAGAAAACCTGCTCTGTCTCATCCCTTTTGTTCTATTAATGTTAGAATATAGCACAAGATACGTGGACCAAACACTTTCCACCAGGTTGCTCAGAGCTCCATCCAGCATAAACACTTTCAGGGTTGGGGCATCCACAATTTCTCTGGGCAGCCTGTGCCAGCGCCTCATCACCCTCACAGTAAAGAATTTTTTCCAATATCTAATGTAAATCTGCCTTCTGTCAGTGTGAAGCCACTCCCTCTTATTCTATCACTAAATATCCTTGTAAAAAGTCCATCTCCATCTTTCTTGTAGGCTCCTTTCCAAGTACTGGAAAGCCACAATTAGGTCACCCTGAAACCTTCTCTTTTCCAGGCTGAACAAATCCAGTGCTCTTAGTACCTCAGCTATCCCCGATGGCAGGCAATTTGGAAAAAGATGATCTTTAATGGCCCTTCCATTCTACAATACAGCAACAGAAAAGGTCACTCTAGCTACATGGGGATTACTTGGTCTAGCAACCTGGTTTAGCGAAGGGTGTCCCTATCCATGTTAAGGCATTTGGAGTAAGATGATCTTCAAGGTCCATTTCCATCCCAAACCATTCTGTGATTCTGTAACTCTCTGTCTCCTGAGCAGGATCTATTATGTGTCTGATCAGTTCTCTACAGCCTTGGCAGGTAGGTCTGTATGCTGTGAATGTCTTAGGAATTAGTGTAACTTGCATCCTCTTTTAACAGCCTGTTCTGCCTTTTCCCTGTTTAAACTTTCACCTGAGCCTTGCTCCAGTGATTCAGTCTCCAAAATCTTTGTGTGCTTAAGGTGTTCAATGAACAAAAGATAACAGGTTTTGTTTTGGTAGTGAAGACAGCTGGAATTGGAAAAGTAACTGGTATGTACATATAACTATGAGGCTACCCTGCCTAAAAATGCTGGGAATGCTGCTATTTGGAGAGAATAAGAAAGAAAAAGAAAGACCACTCATTTTGTCAGAGCTCTCACATCCAGCTGGAAAAATCAAGAGGATAAGAATACAGCCAGGTGTCACACCAATTTCTTAAAAGAACACTATTTGATTTCAGTCTTGTCTCTGCACCTCTATAAGCTCTTCTAACTTCTAAATGTGGTTTAAAGTAGTTTTGACATTCCAGTTTGGCTGCAGTCCTAGAAATGCTCGGTGATGGTTGAGGATCTCAGGTTGAATAAGAGTCAGATGTGGTTGTTGAGAAGGAAGCTGATGTCACACTGTAATGTATGGAGAAATATATATATCTGCAATTTCATTGAAGTCTTATCCCAAGAGAAGAAGAATAAATTGTTCTTCCTGTCTTCTTTAGAAAAAAATAAATCAGGACCAAAAAAAAGGAATCGTATATACAACAGAAATAATGGGCTTCAATTGTAGCAGGGAAGATTCAGGATCCATGAGGAAAACTTCTAAGTGATAAGTGATAGATTTGGGTTGAGTACGTAGAGACTGTGCCAGTGCCTTCTCTTAACACTGGAGAACTTTAAGAAAAAATTAGACAAACTTCAGAGGTGACATCTGTAAACCTTGACTCACTTAATACCAGGGAGGAAATAGAAGTCAGCTTATTTATTTTCAGCCATCTAATTTTGACTCTGTGTTTGTTTTCCTAACAGAGATTAAAAATTTTCTCACTTTTTTGGGGTTTTTGCTTGGTTTTATTTTAAACATAGGGAACATAATAATTTCCAAGAAGTATAAATGTAATAGTTTGATCCAGTTCTTCATCAGCTGATTTATTAATGTATAAAACAGATAGACTCTTTGCAACTGAGTCACAGTCAGTTTTCCAAACATGTTTCATAAATTTTTTCCTTGGTTTCAGGTAATGGAGACAAACCAGAGAAGCCACACTTTGATTCTCGTAGTCTTATCTTTGAATTAGACCCATGCAATGGGAATGGGAAAGTCTGTCTTGTTTATAAGCATGCTGAGCCAGGTAAGATTGAAAAAAGAAAAGTTAGCTGTCTCTTGCTATGGATTGTATCTGAAGGCCACATATGGAGAGTTATCTTGTATTTCTGATCTTCTTTGCCATTTGTAAGTGAAATTTTTACTGGGATATCCTGTCTCCACTGAAGTCAGGAGCTAAATCTTAACTAGATCTAACATTTTCTCTCCTTTTAGTGTTGGAGTCTGAGTTATAGCTTATGATTTCTGCATGCATAGAAACAGGGAAGTATTCACATGGACCTACAGACAACTGAGTTGAAATAACACAGAGCTCCACTAATCTGGTTACTTGCATGTCTTGGAACAAAGCTGTTACATTTTGATGAGAAAGGATATAACTCTGCTTAGAAACAAAGTGCAGATGGTAAAAAAAGCTGAGACAGAATTAGACTGGGTCTTCCACCTTTTGCACGGATGCTGGGTCTCCAGGTGCTAACTAGGCCAAAATGTGGCCGGAAGGGTTAATGGGAAGGTGAGAAACAAACGGGAGCTGAGCTGTTTGCTCTGACAGATTCAGAGGTAACTGTTATCAGTGAGAGAGTAGTGAAACACCTAAGGCACTTGTAAAATAGGTGTCATCTGACACAGTGTGTAGGTCACTAGAGGTATGTGTGTTTACTGTGTAGCGTTGTGCAATTGCAATGTACAGATTCTTAAGAAAAATCTTGGGTTATTATCTTGTCCCTTTCATTGTGTGTGACTACAGCTGCCATGGCAGGAAGTTCTTGTCCTCTTGCCTCACTCTGTTAGTGATCTCAGCACATGCAGTGGATAACCTAGGCAAGGGAAGGGAGCATTGGTTACAGGTATCAATGTCAACACAGAGCTGTCTGCTTAAATGACAGTGTTCAGCATCTCAATCTCCCTTGAAAAAGAGAAAACCTTCTTTTTGTGCTACAAAGGATGTCACCACTAGAGAAATATTTGATCACTGTGGAAAGATTTTGCAAAATGTGTTTTTGTTGGCAGCAGATACTACCGTGACTTCCAGACTCTGGACTCTATTCAGTAATCCAGATCACTGACAATTGAGTTAGTTGCTTTTAACTTTGTGGGGTGGATAAATGTTTGCCATAATTGTACTTTGAACATATACTACAAAGTTGCTGATGTCCAAGAATGTTCCATGTCACTCCCAGGTTGTGAAGGAGCAGCATTGCATTCATTGTTCAGCACACAGCTTGTCAAATACCCCATGCAGTAGGTGAACACTGGATGATGGGTAGGACACAAAAGCTTATAGTAAGTAGGGTTAAATAGTAAATAGTCATCACATCAGGCTGACAGCTGGTCACTGGTGGGGTTCTGCAGAGCTCCATCTTGGGCCTGGTGCTCTTCAGTATCTTCATGAACAGCTTGGACACAGGACTGGAAAGAGTACTAATTTGTCCGTTATACTAAACTGGGAGGAGTTGATGTCTCCCTTGAAGGTCCTGCAAAGTGACCTCAACAAATTAGAGAGATGTGCAACCACCAACCGTATAAAGTTTAACAAAGACAAGTTCTGGATTCTGCACCTGGGCTGGAACAAGCCTGGAGGTACATGAAACAGCCCTTCTGATGAGTGTGTTGTGTCTCCCACCTGACAATGGCCAGGGGTTAATCTTAATACTGCAAAGCAACAGTGTAATTTGTGCTTGTTTTATTCTAGTGGTCTCCCCAGACACAGAGATCTGGTTCCTGGACAGAGCTCTGTATTGGCATTTCCTGACCAAAACCTTCACAGCCTACTACCGCCTGCTCATCACCCACCTGGGTCTCCCACAGTGGCAGTATGCCTTCACCAGCTATGGGGTCAGCCCCCAGGCCAAGGTAGGATAGCAGAGTCCAGCCTGTCAGTATTTTGCATAAGTATAGACTGCAAAAACATCTTCTCACCTTTTGGCAAGCTGTCTGTCAGTTCAGGGGGGCCTCCCTGCTGAGCCACGGAATGGACCACAAGTTTTTTCCCTGTAACATGTTAACAGTAATATGTTTCACAGTAATTTGAATTCACTAATATTGTGTTAACCCTGCTTTTCTCTCAGAAGTTGGGCCTTGATAAAAATTATGCCCAAAAAAGGGCAATTTCAAGTCCTAGAGGTAGTTACAGAAGACATAAACCCTTGTAAGCATTCCAGTCACTTATTATTATTAAAATTACTATTCTGCCATGCCAAAATCCTGTTGTTAGAGGCTTCTGCTGTTCTTCTGTGTTTGACTGGGCCTTCAGCCCTATCCCTGCCTCCATCCTGTGAGAGATCAGGGAATGGAGCTGATTATCCTACTGGACACAGCTCATAAGCCAGCACAGTGTCTGTGTGCCTTGGCAAGGCCTACTGGGACTTGAGTGTCCTACACTTCACCCAGTCATGACAGCTGTTTTATCAGCTTGAGATTCCCTGGTCTTGTGTGCACATCAGAATTGCTAAAATCACTCCTGACTTCCCATCTAACAGTGGCTGCAGAATTTGGTTTCTTTCATTCCTGATGCCTTCCCTGTTACACTGCACTGAACCTTATCGGTCAAGGCTGTGTACGTGGGACCGTGCCTTTCTGTAACTTTCCTGCTATAAATATTTTATTACATTCAGTATGTTTGCAAACCTTAAGAGGAACCATTCATATATTCCCTAATCATTTGCAGCCCCTGTTGGTTAAAATCCTCCTAGTTTGTTAACCATTATCATTTTAAAAGTTTCCAAGGGGGCATATTAAAGCTGTTTTCCACTAAGCAGTACATTAATAGATTATTATCTCTATTTTGGTGTTGAACTTCTCTATGTCCTGCTCAACACTTTGCTGATGGTTTCACGTTGATTTGTAATACCATAACTACTATAGTTTTATTTCCTAACTTAGTTAATGGAGAAATAGAAAATCAGAAACAGAAACAATAAGACAAACAAAATTTTGTGTAAGGAGTTTAAAAATTGATTATTTTACATATGAGGAGCGGAAGGAAGGTTATATTTTGACAAATTCAACTAGTTGGTTTTCAGTTTATAAGCACATTTAAATTCCAAAGGTTTTTTAATCCTTTCTGCTTATCTGAATTTAGATAAATGTCATTTAGTTTCATCCTGTCCTTCTGCTTTTCCTGTGGTGTAAATCAGGATTTGCTCTTGACAGGAGTTACACTGCAGGAAAGGTGGTGTTAGGATTGTGTCTGGTTCTCCTCTTCCCTATCTGGAATGCAGTTCCAGGATGGGGTTGTGCCTTGTGTATCCTTATCACAAGCACTCTTCCAAGTCCTGTGAACTGCAAACTGATAAGTGGCATAGGATTAAGATCAAATCTTGGGGAAGATGGGTAGCAAGGTGGAATTGTCTAACTGCAGTTGGAATTTAACGTGTTCCTTCCCCACCATGCTGCCTTTCAGCAATGGTTTAACATGTATAAACCCATAACCATCAACACAGCACTCCTGTCTGAAGAAGCTGATTCCTTTGTGAACAAGCTGGACCCCAATAAGGTATTTAAAAGCAAGAACAAAACTCCAGTGCTCAAGAAAAAACAGCCTTCACAGCCACCAGGCTCCCAAAAGAGTCATACAAGCATGACCTCTGCCAAGACATCCTCACTAGCTGGGAATTCTTCAAGGAAGTGAGCCCACCAGATCTGACCCTGGACAGCATTTACAATAAGCTTTGATGCTTTCTGCTGCAGAGTGTCTGTGGTTCAGACCAAGTTCCTTGTGCATGAATAGATGTGCCCATGGAAAGCACGTTGCAGTACCTGCATGAAATATAGCCATGATGTGGATGTAGTTCCTGGAGGCTCTTAAAAAATGGATACATCAATTTTATTCCCTTCTGCTACCTGCAGCATGTACTTTTCAGAGTGTACGAAGAAACCTTTGCTGTCACTGCTCCACAGAGAAGCTCTTGTTCCTGTACAACTGCAGCAGTGAAATGAAAGCAAATGTAACTCACTGTAACTTTAACCAGACCCATGCTGAAGTAGAGGGTGTGAAAATGTTTCTGCCATGTCCTTCGAAAGAAAATTGTCCTGACCTTGCATGCTGTGGGAGCAGGCTGCAGCCCACTGAACACAAAAGTATCTTTCACTCCAGATAGAATCAAACTCTGCACTTCCCTGTGCTTCATCCAACTTCTGCTCTGAGATTCATGGTACAATGAGACTTGTGACTTCCATGTCTCTGCATTAGCCTAGCCACTTGCTCTGCAGCCCAGACCTCTTTTTGGCCTTTATGCTTGTCCTAGATTGCAAGGCAATATGTGTATTCTATTTGCCATCTGTTAGAGGTGTGGCTGTTATCTTCTGTTAATGTTGTCATCACGTTGCGAAAGTTCCATACTGTTGTCTCCTTATCACAAAAGTTTCATACCTTCTTGGTGTTTTCTCGTGGACAGCTCCTCAGAGCACTGACTGTTTCTTCCTCACAAAGTAGCCAACTGACTCCAATTCCTCTCAACCAGCCAACCTACTCTTTTATAGCACTCTTCTTCTTATTGGTCATAGCTGTGGCCTGTTAAACTCAGGCCTGTTCCTAATCTTTGGTGATTGGCCCAGATGCAACTCCTTAGGGGTGAGATTACTTTCTGCACTATCTTTATTGTCTTATGTTCTATACCACCACACGTTAATTGGGCAGTTTTCTTTATCTCTTCCAAACTCCAATCCTCCCTCCAGGGAGATATCTGCTGTTGATGGGCTATTGAGTGTCCCTGCATGACTGATAAAATTACAGCATCCCATTGGGAGATGCTCTGCCCAGAGGGAGGAGCCAAGCATTCCTAACTGGATATAATCTGAGATTTTAGGACACCAGAATAGCCTTTCCACTGTATTCCCAGAAGAGCAGCTGCCTTTTCCACTGGATCTTCAGAGGAAGACTACACCCTTCTCCAGGATCCCTGCTCCAGCAGAACCACACCTGCTGCTCCAGGAGGACAGCAGCCACAATTCCAGTGGGACTGCTACCAACACCCTGACCAACGGGGTGTCAGGTTGTATTCTGACTCTCTCAGTGTTGTTTTGTATTACTGAATTGTTTATTTTATTTTTATTTTCTTCCCTAATAAAGAACTGTTATTCTTGCTCCCATATCTTTGCCTAAGAGCCCCCCTTAATTTCAAATTTGTAACAATTTGGAGGGAGGAGGTTTACAGTTTCCTGTTCAGGGGAGGCTGTTGCCTTCCTTAGCAGACACCTGTCTTTTCAAACCAAGACAGTGCTGTATCTTTTCAAATGGTGACATGATTTGCAATAATCCTGAAGCCAGAAGCTGCAAGATCCTTTGTTGCTTTCCTTTGTGGGAACTGCTGAGCAGAGAGTCAATGGTGTTGAGTCCAATCAGCCAGGAGGTCCTCTTGGTTTGTCACACATTCATTTGCAGAGCTGTCCATTGAAACAGACACTTTTCAGTTGGTCAGGCTCTCACTGGGGGCCACTGAGATCCTACAACCTTAGATGCCCCTACCCTGATGCTGTTTTCTATACTGTAGGTTTTCAAGTTAGAACTTTAACCCATTCACTTTAACCCATTCAGTTACTCCTGTTTGTTTCCATTACTTTTCTGTGGTATTCTGTCTTCCAAATATGCTGGAATCATAGTAGCACCCAACACGTTTCATGCCTGAATGTGGAAATCAAAATCACTGTCTTCAAGCATTGACTATTTAAACAGCATCATCTCTAATTTTTGAATAACCACCACATAATTACACAAGACAAACCTACCTCACAGGGATGTTGTGAGGCTTTCATGAGTATTTCTATGGCCTTCAGAAAGATTAAGCCATTCTGTAAGTGCTTAATAATATTTTAATAAATATTTTAATATTTTCCTCTGAAGTGATTGGGTATTTGAAGATGCTTTGGGGAGCACATGGGCATGGGATGCAAAGGCAAGAGCAGTGTTCAGGATGGATTGTTTGGGGTGCTTCTTCAAGGCAGTAGAGACTCTCTCCCTGAGAAGGGATGGGTTACAGTGCTTTTAGCTTATCCTTCTTGAGCTACTCAGAAATTCCCAGTTTGTTTCACACAGGCCAGAAGACTGAACTTCGTGGCAGTCACTGTGCAAAATCTCTGCAGCCACCAGCCCCTGCTCAGGTATATTTTGCTGCTCCCAGCACTGCCAAGGGCCCAGCTTCAAATGCCATTGCTGCATTGCCTGGCAGCCACTCTCTGCCACCCCTAGATGACAAGAAATCCTTTAGTGCACCCTCTCAAGCCCATGTGCATCTTGAGACAGGTGAAGATCTGTTCTAGCTGCTCTTACTGACGTAAAGTGAGCTCTAATGAGAAAGCACACGTCAGCACTTCCCACCCAACCCCACCCCAGCCCACAGCAATACCTCAGTTATGCTTTTAATATCAGGATGGGAATGACCATTAAATCCAGTAAATGCCCTTTTCTGGAATTCTGTGCAGTAGTGATGTTCTGTCACTTCCTGCTCTGGAGAACTCTATGTTGTTTATTCATGGCACCCAGCCCTGGGACTGCAGTTATGTGCTTAACATACATACCATACTTGCTTAAGCACTTTCTAGAAAAGTTAAGACTGTTGTCACCCTCCTGGGAACAGGCAGCTTCTGATTGTGTTCTGCCTCTAACCCAGTGACACCTCAAACTTGTAAAGCTGTTACAGGCCCACTTCTTCATTTCAGATGGAGGTAGCAGAATTCCTGCAACAGCGGGGCAAGGTCTTACATTTCTCATGCATTCAGACTAGGAAAAAAGTAAGGGGGGGGGGGGGGGGGCAGTTTTGGAGACCCTCTGGCAGAAGTTCTGTGACTTCTTTCCTGTGGTGGTAGTTGGTGTAGCTCAAGTCTAGAATGTTAGTACACACATGGTTCTTTGCTGCCAGCATGTTCCAGCAGAACTGTGGCAGGATTCAGGAGACCCTGTAGTTTAGTTTAGTAATTTTGTAACGCTTCCTGAATGTTCAGATCAAAACCAACAACAAGAAACAGATTCATGTTTCTATTTTAGACTGTTCTTGTTGTTCTCTCTTCTGTGCTCTTCCAAACTAGGTGTTTGTTAGGGTGACAGATACGCAAATGAAGCAAGCCTAGGCCCCTGGACCATCACTGTAGTATCCACCTCTTACCAAAGAATATTCCAGATCAAAATTTATGTGTTAATTGACTTAATCATGTTGTATCTGCCACTGTTGATGCCTGTATTTTGACTAATATGAATATATACATATCTGGAGACTTGTAGCTCTGCTTTGCTTTTCTTCAGATTATGATGATTAAGGGTTCATTTTTGGTTTGGGTTTTTTTGGTGTTTGGGTAGGTTTTTTTTGGTAGATTTTTACACAGAGAGATTGAATAATTCCTTCAGGTCACAGCCAGCCCTACATAGGTCTTCTCAATATCTCAGATACCAAGTTTGTCTGTTTAACCAGAGTAGGTTTACTGAAATCTAGTCCGTCATCTGTCCACCAGCATGGTGGACAAGCAGATGTGCCCTTCACACGTGTCATCACAGCACATGGCCATCACAGTTTGGAAGTCTCCATGTCTGCCTGTTCTTTCTCATGTTCAGTTTCATGTCCAGGCTGGTTGTGAAAATCAATGCAGAGTTTGTATATTAGAACACCAAAAAGACTTCCCAGAATTGGAGCTGCGACTGGGATCCACCACCAGGAATGATGAGCCCTAAAATGAAACACAGAAGAGGCAGCTGGTGAGCCAGACTGGAGCCACTGCCCTGCCACCACATCCTGCTGGGGCAGGAGTGAGCTGTGTGAGCAGAGGAGTCTGTCCCACTCCAGGCACTAAGCCTACAATTGGCTTAGACAAATTTGCTGTTCCCCCACTGCTGGAGGGAAGGTAATTTTCCCCATCAGCATGGAAAGGTGGCTCCACACTGCAGGTTTCTTGCTCTCCAAAAGAAATGGGCTGTGTGGTCTTGATGAGTGGGACTCTCAGACAGACATAGGCATTTTGCCTCCCTCTTTCCAATAATCTGTGACTCCTCTACTGAGCTCTTGAATATATTTTCTGGGAATTTAAGGAGAGTGGGCATCCGGGACAGGAGACTCTGGTAATGATTTCCCCACAGGAGAAGCCATAACATAACACCATGTTACTAGATAGAGGAAGGCAAGGTTTCATCTCCAAATTCAGACTCTGAATTTAGGAGTCCTGTTCAGCAATCCACCCACATTCAGGTGAGCTGCATTCTGGCTCTCTGCTCACTGCAAAAACCAGCTGGGTCTCCAGTGAACAGGCAGACAGTTTGGTGCCCAGACTGAGGTATCCGAGTGTCAAGGTGAATCCCATGCCAGAGAATCAGTGTTCTCCAAATTTTGTGTGCATAATGCACAAGGCTCATGTAGGCACAACCCTCACGCTCTGCAGTGATACCATCACTTGGTCCAAAGAAAAAAGGCTTCATGGCACATTTTTTCTAGTACTTATCTCCTCCCCTGGCAAACTGGGCAGGGTAATAAGAGCAAAACAAGTCACTCACGTGAAGACGGCCGTTCCCCAGCCAGCAATTGCTGTGAAGATCCGGGGGGGCAGGTCCCTGGAGGGGTTTATGGCATAGCCTGTGTTCAGCCCCATTCCCAGGCCAATGCCCAGGACCAGCACACCTGTGAGCATGGGCTGAGCGCCTTTGGTGGCTGCATTGTTTTTCTCGTCATGGATGACTAGGATACCCAGGATCAGCATAACTGTTGCTGTAAACTGCAGGAACAGAAAAGGGAGAACAGGTCAGGGGAGAGAATGGGGAAGGTTGAAAGATCCTGCTCAGCAGAGCAGAAGAAACTTCCCAGAATGAAAGAGCAGATGAGATTCATGGTCTGATCAAGGCAGGAGGGACCCAAATATTACTCCCTCCTCAGAGGTGAACTGAAGAAAATTATTTTCTCAGCAAAAACCTCATCACCAAGACTGATACAAACTTCTCAGCAATGTCATCTCTCTCTCTCTTTCAAGACAGGGAGATGGGTTATTTCAAATACATTCTGTCTAATAAAAGCAGAGCCATAACAAACTGCTCATGAGACAAATCTGATCATCCCTAGAGGAAGTGGTGTTTTGTACAGCCTGTATGCAGATATCAGATTCTCACCTGGGAAACTGAATTTCCCATCAATGACTACACAGCTGGCATGTGTAGATTTGCAGTGCCCAGGACATCAAGAAGCATAGTTTTCATATAGGTGATGACACCTGTCTCTTTCTGCTTCAGAAAATGAAGCTGGAGACTTGATCTGTTTGCACAGACACCAGCAAAGCCAGAAACTGCAGCTTTTGGCAAGGCACTGTCACTCTTATTTGCTTTCTTGTGCATCAAGGACACTGGTCCACAGAAGGCTGAGGGCATCCACTCCCCACCTCTAGGCTCTTCCACCATCCTCTTCATCATACCCAGGCAGGAGTTTTGTCAGCTCAGAGTCCGAATCACAGGCTTCCAAAGATTTGCATTGGAAGTGAATCTTCCTTCTCTAGTGTCTCAGTGCCTCACATCCCCTGAAGAATCCCTTTCCCATTTCTGGGCATCTGGACACTGCGCTGTAAGCTGGGAATGCACTGCAAACAGTCTCAATGGATCTGTTCAAACACAGAGCTCAGTCCAGGCTGTGCTCATGTGGAGACAGTGCCAGGCTCTCTGTGCTGGAGAGGGGCAGCCAGCACAGCTGCTGAGGAGCATGGAGAGGGTGTAGAATCCAATAGGGGAAGGAACAGTTCAGCCCAGAACCCAGAGGAGATGGCTGGTGGTACAGCTTAGCTTCTCACTGCTTGAACAGCATGAAGGGAAGGTGTCTGGAGAGCCCCTGGACCAAGCTGTGGAGCAGCCTACATGTATTAGGCTCTGGGCAGAACTCTTTAGGCTTCCTCAGCCACTACTGTGCCTTGGATCTTACCTTACAGACACCTGCCTGGATGCTGGGCTCCTTGGGAAAAGAGGTTGTGGTTGTGTCTGTGCATGTAGGGCTGTGGGGACCTGCAGCAGCC